TTTTTGAAACTGTTGTATTTATTTTTTACTAAATTAATAGTTATTGGATCTTAAGGAAACAAAAAAGAACTAAAATATGATATTTATGAAGGAAAAATAGCAATATAATAAAAAGTGGGACAGAGAGTGACACAGGATATGGGACAGAAGATCTGTTGCGGAGATATTAACCGTTCAATAATGCTAAGCTGTGGTCATTTACCAGCTAATTGATTGTATAATACTTACTCAGTCACATTTAGCAGCAGCTAATTGATTGTAATAGTTAGTTAGTTAGTTGGTTATGATAGTAATTAATTACTAAGCATCGCTAAGGTGGCAAGGTGGTAAAAAATGCGGTTACTTCTTAATTAATAATTGATAGGATAAATAACAGCAAGGGAAGGCAATTAAGAAAGCAAACACACCTTGAGCTCCAAATGAGGGATAGACTCCTTTTGAATATCGTAATCGGCAAGGGTCCGCCCATCTTCAAGCTGTTTGCCAGCAAAAAACAGCATCTGGTTGTCTGCGGAAAAACCCTGCTTGGCGTGAATCTTAGCCTTGACAGTGTCAACCATGTCGAAGCTTTCAACCTCAAGGGTAATTGGCTCGCCAGTGCCAGGGATCTCAACCTTGAGTGTCAGAGCTTTCACGGACATCTGCATCCGTTGGGGGGCGGGGCGGGGATACCAAAAGATAAATAATCGGAATTGCTAGCCAAAAAAAAAAAAAAAAAAGCTGTAATCCTCAACCCTAAATTCGGCACCTAATTCCTCAATTTAGGGGTGGAATCCATAAATTACAGAGAAAAAAAAATCTAAATCAAAATCATCAAGCAGCAAACAATCATAAACAAACTGCGAAAAGAAGCAAACTGATGCAGTTCCAAGGAAATGACTAGATTGATTGATGAGATATTAACCGTTCAATAATGCTAAGCTGTGATCATTTACCAGCTAATTGATTGTATAATAGTCAGTCAGTCACATCTAGCAGCAGCTAATTGATTGTAATAGTTAATTAGTTACGATAGTAATTAATTACTAAGCATCGCCGAGGTGGTCAAAATTGCGGTTACTTCTTAATTAATAATTGATAGGATAAGTAACAGCAAGGGAAGGCAATTAAGAAAGCAAACATTTCCTGTAACTCTCCTTGATTCTCAATATAGTACAATTCCTCCTCCCTATTCTTCCACGGACATTCTCCGTTGACTGGAATCGGGAATTGGGATCTTCACCAGCTTCGCATCACAAAATAATATAGATTGTCAAAGAAGGAATGATTACCTTTTGATGGCAGAATTTGAGAGAAGATTGATGAAGAAGAAGATGGGTAGACTAACGAGTGAGAAGTGAAGGCGAGAGACGCCATTTATATACTGTATGAAAAAGAGGCTAAAGAGGTACTGTAGTCAGTATGTAGATTGCCACAGTGTTAACTGTTAATTTCGTCCCCTTCTGATTATGCAAAACGGACCACATATTTAACTTTAAAGAGGTTTCTGTGGCTTTGAACTTTAACAAAACGCCAATAGATACTTCGTGACCAAATTTTGTCCTCACGGGAAGGTTTTATTATGATTATTGAGCAACGTGTCTTTTTTTTTTTTTTGGATAATTTAAGAAACCTAAACCTCCCCTAAGGTTTCTAACAGTACCACGGAACTCTCTTAAAGTTTAAAAAACTACATCCACCTCCTGTGATTTGATAGTTTTAGTAATAAAACTTTAAAATAATAATGACTTAGTCAAATTTTTAAATGAATACCCAAAAATGCCCTTGTGTAATGAGTTTTAATTTACTTTTCTATACAATTATAAAATTATCCAGTGTAAATATAAGAAAAAAGTGTCGAATTTTTCATGTTCATCCTACTATTTGATAAACAATTATAATAATAATAATTTTATCACTATGATAGGATACTTTTGAAGGTATTTTATTATAGATCTAGATTTATAAGATAGAAAAGAAAATTTTGAAATAATTGATTTAGAGTTTATGAATTTTTCGAATAGTAGGATTATCAAAATTTAGTAGTGATTTTGGGTAGGGGTGGGCGCGGGTCGGGTACCCGCCCCGCATATCAGTGGGTACCCTATAACGGGTACCCGGTGAGATAGGGTCGGATCAGCGAGTACCCGCCCCGCCCCATTTATCATTTAATTTTTTTAAAAAAAATAATTTATACCAATTTAATTTTATATTTTACACATTCATCTAAGATTTAATAATTTTTTTTTTCTAAAAAAAGGTTTCCCACCAAGAAACAAGCATATGAAGAGAATATAAGATAAAGGAAAAAAATTAAAAGAATTCAAAATCAATAAAAGTTTGAAATAAGTAGCACAATTTTTAATATATATGTTCCACATTAATTAAACTTTTTTCTATAAAATATAAGATCATGGCCTTTACAAATGAATCTTGTAAATAAACTATAGTATCTCATATTTGTAATGCAATTTGTTCAATAAAATTACTTATTTAGTTCTAACTTATTATTTTATAGTGTGTGTATAAAAATAAAAAATATATATATGCGGGACGGATCGGGTACCCGCGGATTTTTAATTATGTGACCCTAACCCGCCCCGCATCTTAGCCGATACCCGACCCTCTTTTGACCCGATCAAATAATAAAAATCGGATATCCTAATTTTCGGATCCGATCGGATCGGATATGACGGGTTTTCGAGTTAGCGGATAATTTTGCCCACCACTAATTTTGGGTCATTTCTTTTTGATTTATTGTTAATTTTAATACCAAAAAATAGAAAACAAAGATTAGTAAAAAAAATATATTGGATTACATATAAAGTTAACTCATAAAAAAATCACTAGTTCGACATTTGATTATAATAGAAACTAGAAATAATAGTAAAAGTTCTACAGTTTTATTGGTAAAAAAATTAAAATAAAAAGGAATGAGAAGGAAAAAGAATGAAAAAATAATTTTAAAAGTCATTCTAAATATAAGAATACCAAACAAGAGAATTTTATTAAAATATTTAAAGATAGTATTATCATTTTAAATAACAAGTAAGATATGCGTAATTTTAAAAATCTCGAGAGAGTTAAACGAAATTGTTAAAATCCTCAAGGGAGGTTCCTGAAGCTATCCCAATGGTAACAATTCATTAAACAAAAACACAGGAGACTTGTATATCCGGAGCAACTCCTTCTACGTCTCTTTTAGCTGTAATAGCAAGGCAACCGGGAGTAGGGTGTCATTGAACGTCTCCTGGCTCCTGGGGGCAGGCATACTGCCGCCGGACAAGTGTTCACTGTGAAATTTACAGCTCACGTGCTTCTTCCAAAACAAGGGGTTGGTACAAACCACTGTACCATTCTGCAGAATTGTTATGCTGTTTTAAAACAATGAGTTGGTACAAACCAATATACCATTCTACAGAATTATTGTTGGTTTAAAACAGGGATAACCTTTTTATATATCATGAGGGTATAATTAGATTAACACATTTAGATTATGTCACACAATATAAATTTAAATTTAAAATTCAACTCATGCACATATAACATACGTCTAAAAACATTCAAAACTTCTAGCGCAAAAAAATCACTGATGGTATATAAAAAGCTAATTCTTAAAATAATATTGCAAGAAGAAGCAATTGCACCACAGCCTTGACGATGAAAGTGTCATCAGCCCCTATCCTGGGAAAAATTTCAAGCAACAAACCAATAACATTGTAGTCTGCAGCAGTTTCTTACTATAATTGTGCTTAGCCGGCCAGGTCCTCTGCCCCCTAATAATTGGCTTCGAATCCCTGTCCCCAAAGTAGTCTCTTCCCACTGTCCCTTGTTTGTATAGCCACCACGTGTGTCTAGCATTTTATTAATCCAAATTTAAATAAACCGATAATAATCGATTTATAAGTTTATTCAAAATCAATTAAAATAGATAACTCAAAAAAAAAATTTATTTTCCTTTTAACAAAAAAGAGTCTTGTTGATCATACATGATCTGGTCATTTGCAAGAGGATTCGAAGCCCTAATAATTGCTCCTCATTTGCAAGTGATAAAATATGATCAAGAACATAATGTCATATCGTCTTCTTGAAGAGGTTAGCAGCCGAATCAGAGGGTACGTGCACATTCTCAATCCAAAGAGACTTTTTAGGCGCTATAACAAGCAAAGTGGCCAACTCAATTGTCTTCCCCTTTCATTCCTTAACGGCTTATGAAATCAGAAAACTCAGCGGCAGATGAACAGTTTACAAGCCTACGAACAAGCTTTAACACTCCAAGCATGCAATCTAAGTCCACAAATATCAAACAGCAGAGTATAAATTGATTCTTCATGAATATTCCAAGAAACGCTTCTGCTAAGGACTCAAGAGCCAACTCAAGCGGCAGGAAACCATCTTTGGTTCTAACATCTGCCTTTGCTCCATATGTAAGGAATAACTATGTCATTGACGAAGATAATTCGATTTCTGCCAAATGCAACGGATAGAGGTGACCGTTATTTATTTTGTTTTTGGGTTGACAAGGAAATTCGTAGCCGCTACCCAAGAGTACACGCTGGATAAATTCCATCCATACAATAACTTGTTAACCACACAGAGAGGTATAACGCGCTAGACAAATCCTGAACGACGAGAGCTGCCCCGGGTTGGCAAGAGGAAGTAGGACTACGGCTGTTAAGTCCACAAAAATTTCACCCTTGGGAGCTGCTGTTCAGAAAGGCGATTTTGACGTCCCCAAGAAATACTCCCATCGGTTCAAGGAGTTGGAAATGGATGGGATATAACGAGAGCTAAGAATAGGGGTTAAAATTAGGGTAAACTTCGGTACTCAACAAGGATAGTATTGATATTACATAATGATAAGTGCTTATATTATGAGTGGTGATTGATTTTCTGCATTGCAGAATTGACAAATAGTAGGGAAAAAATTAATAATGGGAAATTCCTATCAAAACTAATTGCAGAGCTCTTTCCTAGGTACATCATATTTCTGCACAACAGGCAAAGCTAGAGACGGAAAATAACTGAAACTTTCACAACTTTCACAAACTTTCATGATTATATTACAGTATACATGATACAGTACATGAATTCAACAAATCTCTTATACTAACAAATATTACAGGACAAAAATTATGCCAAAAGTCTATATAAAGAACACATCAAACAGCTTTTAACATGCTTTGTTTCCAACTAACTGATCTTCACACAATCAAGGCAAATCATAATTGTTCTTTTTATTATATGGTTCTTTGCCAGAGATAATTTGGTCCACAAAATGACACTGGCTGCTAAGATTCATTACATTTCAAGAAGAAGTTGAGGGGGTATAGGAAGGATTGAACACTTTCTGTTCAGCACAGCTGAGTACTTCATTAGGCCCTGCCTCTTCTCGCCCAATTCCCAAAAGGTCAAGGTAGTTTAGATAATGGGAGATAATGATATTCATACTGTCAATATCACCTTGACCACAAACAGAATCTCCATAGAGGAGGTTCATGGTTGTCCCAAAACCAGGAACTCGTTTTGCTTCAGTATCATTTTTGTTGGGCTTCCAGTTGCCAACAAATGCATCATGAGCAGAAGGTAGTCCCTTTTTCTGGGGTTTCATCCATTGATATATTGCAGCCTGGAAAGCCAGAGTCGCGTTTTGTTCAATGTATTCAGGATGGTTCAAAAGATCTTGCTTGAGGCCTTCACCAACAGGCCCGTAGTTGTAGTTCCTAAGACAACATACACGGATACAGTCAGAAAAATATGCAGGACTGAAGCAATTACTAAAATGCAATAGAGTTAAAATACCGAACCCCTCCCCCCCCCCCGGCCCGCCGGCCCAAAAAAAAAAACCCGCACAAAAAAAAATTCTAAGCATGGAGCCCTTCAATATCTATAATCATCATGCGAGCATTACAGACTTTACAATTCTAAGAAACAGGGACAGTTAGAATGGAAAACAAATTAACTTTGTGTAGTCTTTGTTAAGAAAGCTTGATTCAGTAGGAATCAGTGAACTAAATTATGGCAGATGATAATTAAGGACTATTTCCATAAAACAATCAACAAAGCTTGCAGAAAGCAAATGGCATTTAGTTCCACATCCAACTGAAATTTCGAGGCATAAATAGCATATCTAAATCACTGGTACTGCTTTTTTCTTCCCTCTCACTGTCTCTCTCTCTGATCATGTCAAAGACCTCACTTAGCCTGTAAAAAGTAACAATCAAGTAAGGGAAGAAAGAACACCACCACATACCAATAAAGAGGTAGTGCACCACGACCATGGTAACTAACTCCAGGAGCACATGGATAGGTTAACTTGAAGTAATCATCACAGTATATTGAGCTAGGACTCATTTCCTTGTTGTAGCATAGACCCCAAGCCAAGGGCCCCCTGTGGCTACCCCATAACCACCTGCACCATTATCAGAAGCATCAACTTTAAATGGACTTAAGCAAGAAAATGAAGTCAATGCAACCAAAAATCAAAGAAAATTTCTCCCTCGTGAGCAACTTCCTCAAATCTCAATTTCAGCTTCAAGGCACCATTTAGTTGGATGCTGATTGGAGAAATTTATCTCATAAGTTTAGATAGACAAAGCTATTTGCCTAAGGATTTATTTGTTTCACCACACTTCCAACTTTATTCATTGTTACACATTTTCTAAGTCTGTCTTCACAGATACTAGCAAACAGTAGGGATGGTAAAAAAAATATCCACATAACAGTAGGACTTAGTTATAATAGTATTATAGATAGAGATACTAATCATATATACACACATAGTACTTGCAAAGAAGGTGAGATATAGGAGCATTAAATGCAAGAATAGGCGAGCTAAGAATGGGCAATGCTAAGAATAGGCGAGCAATGAAAGTGTTAAAAAATGGGCAATGCTAACTAAATTTTGCACTTCCTTTTTTAATTTTTTTCCTTTTTAGCAAGGGAGAGGATGGGATTTAAGAAATGGGGATGGAAAGAAAGAAAAAAAGGGGGGGGGGGGGGATTTCAGTACTAAATCTTACAATTCTAAAAGAAATATATTTCCTTGAAAGTCACGACACATTACATATATAGGAGAATGAAAATCAAGAATTAAAAAATTTTCTTGTGCTCAGTAACAATGCTGAAAATAATTTGCATCACATACACAAAATATGGTAACACTTGCATACTCTGTTTTCATGCTACTTTACGAGTCTTAAATGTACCTGAATAAGAAATGACTAAACTAATCTGAGATTCTTTTTTATTTTGACTAGAACTCGTTCAAAAGAATGTTCACAGCGAAAAGAAAACTACAGTGATTGTACCATCACATCCATCTTTTGCTTATATGCAAAGAAAACAACAGATATAAACCTCCTATAATGAAACTTTTAGATCCAAATAAATCAGTTCAAAACAGCACTAAATCACAAACTATCATGTCAGATCTCAATTCTGGCCCCAAAAAAGAAAGAACTTCTATCCATACACTCAATCTAGGTAATACGCATTCCAAGATCAGTAAGAATCTGAGTAATTCCACACGATACACTAAGTCTCTTAAAACCAATAATTCTAGCCACAAATCTACATCCACCGACAAACATGTCCAACCTAGACAGCATCCCTACAAGCTCGTGTATTGTTCTTTGAAAGAAATGGAATCAATGAAATGAAAGATGGAGTCATATTCTCTAAATTAAGAATAGAGTTTCTAAAAAACACAACAAATTTCCATTTCCAAATCTCATGAAGAACCAAACGCAACTCAACTAAATTAGGGAAAACACGCTATAATTCCATATCATCTCCTTACCTTTTCAAACATGATATTATATTTGATATTAAGTACTAGCCATCCATTTTTGAATTAACCCCTTCGAAACCGACAACCAAAAAAAAAAGGTAAAATGGATGGTAAATTCTTATGCATATATATAAAAACAAACAAAACTTTAAATCCATCAAAAAAAAGGAGAGGAACTTACAAGAAGTTTTGGCACCGACATGACCAAGAAATGCGGAAAGCTCCAACATCTGGGCAGTCTTGTTTCCAGTGGTACCAAATCCCAAAGGCTGGAAAAGAGCAGCTGCGTGAATGAAAGATTCGTAATCCCAAAACCCAACGGCATGAGCCACCGGCGAATTCCTCTTGGAGAACAGATTCTCAAACTGGTAAGTCTGAAAATAGTCCGAGATCGTCAGATTACAACAGTAAACAGATGGGGTCGAACATTCCCACCCCTTTGTACAGTACTTCTTCCCCTTCACAACCTTCACCACTTTCGACGGCACCGCCGACTCGTCGGCGTAGGAAATCGCCGGTGAAAGAATCAAAATTAGACAAATAACCGGCAAAAACATCTTGAAATTCAACATTTCTTTACAATGCAGCAGGGATTAAAACGGTCGGTTTTTTCTGCTGGGATTTTTGGAGCTATAAAATTGAAGAAATGAAAGGGAAAGAAGAGCTGGAATGATGTTGGAAAGGGGCCTTGGACTATAGAGAGTGTGATGCAAGGTAAGGAAAGCGGTGGTTAGATGCGGTGTCGTTTTCTGGGGATGGAGAGATGGACGGTCGAGATGGGGTTTGGGTTGGGGAATGGAGGGTGGATGGTGAACGTGTACCAGGCTGGATTTGGAATCAAGCAAAGGGGAGATGGTGAGGGAGTGACCCACTAACTAATTCAGTAATTCCACCGACAGCTCCTGAGTCCTGAGGACTCTTCAGACTGGGGTTTGTTTTTTTTTGGTTTTATGGATCCGGATATGGGAATCCGGAGTCAGAGTTGTGCCGACAAATGAAAGTCTTGAACTCGTTTAAGATGAGCTAAGAATGTTCATTTACGTTTTGGAGTCTTACACTGCTACTACGCTACTAGGTACATTTGTATTTATTTTCTAGGGATAATTTCAAAAACCTTCCCGACGTTTCTAACACTTTTACGACCTTTCCTAAGGATTTAAAAATTACACTAACTTTCCTTCTTAGAAATTTGGATCCATTACTTGGGATAATTTCATAAACCTTCCTTGAGATTTTCAACAATTACAGAGATCTTCTCTCAAGTTTCAAAAATTATACTTACCTCCCTCGCTTTTAAGATTTACATAACAATATAGATCCAATAGCCTATAATTTTTCTTAAATATCCTAAAATACCCTTCTTCAGAGAACAAGACACAACAAAATAAGGTTTTAATCTTTAATTTCATGTACGTGTCATACTTACTAAAACAAACAAAATCCAGTCGCTCCAACTCATCTCAAAATTCATTACTTGCTAATTCTTGCTTTATGCAATTACTACCACCACTACCAATACTAAACCAAGAAGAGTAAATTTTAGGGATAATTTCAGAAACCTCCCCTGAGGTTTCTGACAATTTCACTGACCTCCCCTGAGGTTTCCACAATTACACTGACCTCCCCTGGCAGAACTTGGGACCCAATTGCTGACATCATATAATGCAAAATTACTATTATACCCAAGACATTTTGTGTTATTATAGGACTAAAATATGATAAGGCAGATGGTGTTTTTGGATAGTATTGGATTGCATTTCTATTTATTTAATGTATGGTTATGAAATTTGTAATGATATTACTCTTGGATTGCAGTTTTGGTTTGCACCTTATTACTGTTAATGTTTTATAAATGACTGTTTTAGTTCTTGGATTACACCTTACCTCCAAAATTTGGGAATTTACCCAAATTTTCCATTTTCTAATATTCCTACAAATATGCAAAATTATGCATATCCCTCAAATCTACCCAATATTAATGTTTTGTTAAACTCTAAATAACAAAAATATGAAATATAATATTTAAATATATTTTAATACACACAAGTTGGACGGGTAACTAGTGTGTCAGAGAGTTGCCATAATCTCCTTAAACCCGCATGCGGGTTTAAAGAGTATTCGGATATTCTCATATGCACCTATGCAAATCGAACCAACCGGATATCTTATCCGTATCCCATTTTTTTAAATAAAAATCTTATAAATTTGAAAAATAAAATCAAATTTAGATGTATTAGGGTTTTAAAAATATTATATAAGTGATAAAAATTTTATAAATTGTAAAAATAAAATCAAATTTAAATAATTAAATGTTATATTTGCATAAGAAATAATACAATAATCATAATAATGATAATACAATAATATTGGTGTAATAAAACTGCCATTAATTTAAATATTTACTTATAATGCCCAAAGAGGCTAATTACCAATTTTTTCTTCTCGCGCTCAAATATAACATTAACCCGCATGCGAGCTAACCTTGAAATAGAAAAAACACAGAATCCCGCTTGCGGGTTTCAACGTTATTATGCAGGCGGGATTTTAACCTGCTTGCTTGTGAACATGTACCACATTGCTTTGAATTTTTGTGACAAGAGGAAAGCTTTGTCTGATGAATGTATTTGTGAAATGACCTGAGTGGTGGTAGATGGGTTAATTGGGTCGGTTGCGTTACCCAATTGTTTATATCCATAAGTAAAATTTTATGATTCCCATACCCATCCCCTCACTTTTTCTTATTTATTTCTGATTTTTATTAGTTTTCATTAATTCACTAATATAACCGTCTCTTGTATGCCCTTGTGTGTCCCTTTATGGTATGCCAATCCACCTATTTATAGAAAATATTATTTGACCAAAAAATCAAATAACAACAGAAAATCAATGCTAATAGGAAATAATTTCTAATTCTAAATAAAATAGAAAATTTCTTGGCTACTATTTCAAGTAACTAAAACCAATTAGGAAACTAGTTACTTCCACACAAGACAAAAAACCTACCTAAAAGAAATTAAACCAATTTTCTAACATCTTTCATTAGAATTTTCTTAATTCATTAGTTAGGGTAGATTAATATAGTTTATTTCATCCAAGTATTGTATGGAACTAAACACAGATGAAGTTGAGAAAGAAGATGGAGAGTTTGGAACTCATGTAACAAATGTGACATTTCTCCTATCACTTTATTTTTTGTATTGATTCTAATGTTTGGTTATAATACAAATTTGGATCTTGTTTTCATGTTTTTCATGTTTTACTAGTTTTTATACCTAGGGTGTGAATGAACTTCTATGATTATTATGTAATCTTTTTATGGTTATTTGAGTTACATTTATTAACAAGTTATTTAGCACTTTTGCTTTTCTAATCATGATTAGTTGGCCATTAAATGTGATAATTTTAAGGTGTTAAGTTTACAATGGAAATTGGGATTTGATACTAATTAAAAAAGTGCTAAATCTAGAGAGTTTACTCATGAAAGTAGAGGATCTTCTTTGTCATTTTAATGACTTGTTTCATATAATTTCATAGAAGAAATGAATTTATAATTAATTTCATAACCACGAGAGTGGGTATAATTTAGCCATGACAATAATATTTAATTAATTAGTAATTTCACTTGCAAGAGTAGTGAAAAATTTCATAACTCTAGAAGTTTTCTATTGTTATTTTTATTACTTTTATTCATATTTATAGTATAGTTTTAATTTCTTGCATTTGTGATAGTCTAAATAATGAAGAAGATAAAAAATCATTGATAATTGATAATCTTTCCTATAGAATCGACACCTAATATTTCAATACTCGATAAACGATCTGTATACTTGCAAAAAATGAGATATTTAGGTTTTATTAAAATTTGGTATATGGTAGAATTTCGTCAAATTTTTGGCGTCGTTGTTGGGGAAGATTTGGTTCAATATCGATTTTAAGAACCACTTTATTAGTTTAGACATTTTTACTTGTTTTTCTTGTTTATGTTATGTCAAGTGTCTTGTTTGCCATATTTAGTGTCTAGATGAGTATTTATTTTGTGTTTAATGTCTTGTTTTTGGTTTGTGTCTTTTAAACTATTCTTTTTGACTAATCTTACTTTTGATATTGTTTGAAAATATTTTTAGGTTATAAGAGGGGTAGTAAACAAAAGTGGATAAAAATTTGAGAGAAAAAGTTTGGTAATAGACTACAATTTTCAAAACTACAACTATGGAGGTAACCAAAAGATGTCTGAAGATATATCTTTTGAAGATGGATTAAAGAGCTTAACGACTAAACTTGATTTTATAATATTAAAAGTTCAATTGGATACCATTATAAATATACTTGAATAAAAGAGGAATATTAATGTTTTTAATTTCAATTATATGATTTGTGACCTGTATGGAGGTTATCATGCTACTCTGTAGAAAAGTATAAAATGTGGATTGTTATGATGAATTAGAGCATTTTAATCATTGTTTTGATTAATATGGTTCTAATTGGGGTAATTCTTATACTTATAGTTGGGATAATCAATGTGCATATAATGATTCTCCGTATTTTTACGATTACCAATCTAAATTTGTCCACCTCGAATCAAAATCATCTTGGAAATTAGCTATTGAAAACTAATGCACCTTTGTTTTGAGAATTAGCAATTGAAAAGTTAGCTAATGTGACTCCCAACCGTTTTGATAGGGTTGAGAAAACGTTAGATGAATTAATGTCTTGCATAGGTAGAATACAAGGTCAATTGTATGTTTTGTGTAAAGTAATTTCTTCTAATGGTAACTTGACCCTATTGTGAATGGGAAGCATGTCACATGTGAAAATGGAATACAATTTGATGATAATGAAATATCTAATATGAGTTTTAATGAGGAAATGTTCATTTCACATGATTATATCTTTGGAACAAATTTGAACCACAAGAGATGAGCATGAATGATTCACATTTAACCCCTTTTGAGGAGTGTTTTGAAGAAATAAGTTTTAAAAATATCATCACCCAAGAAGGATATGCGAATGTTCCTTTGGAGAAATTTTCAAGTAGTGTTACTACAAAGTAATATCTATGAAACACTTGAGACGGGTAAGTCTCTTCCATCTCTTACATTATTTGAATATATGAGTTTTGCTATCAAACTACCTTTTATTGATCCACCATGACCTAAAATTGTAGATTATTCATTAACAAACCTCTTTTAAAAAATGAGGTAAAATAGTAAAGTTAATGATAATAAAAAAGTACTTATTGGGAGACAACCCAATATTTTGTGTTAATTTGATTCATTTAAGAGTGTTTTTATGTTTGTTATATGTTTTAATGTATGTTAGTTATATTTATTCTGAAGGGTTCAAGAAAGAAGGCAAAAGTCATTTTTGAGATCAATGAGACTAAGGAAGATCAAAGAAGTCAATCCTTGTTATTTTTGATGTGTTATAGTGAGTGGGAATGTATGTTTAGATCATTTTACATGTGCGTGTATCAATTGGTTATTTAACAAAAGAATGATTTAGAGTGCATTTTAAAAAATTGGGGCCATTCACGTAATTTTTAGAAAAGTGCAAAATTGCTGCACTAAAATTGGAGGAAGTAAATATGCATCCTAAAAAATGCATCTAGCATGCATTTTTAGATCGCACATTAGTTTATCCTCATAATTTCTCTCGAAAACGCACCCTCAACCCATATTTTCAGCCCCCGTATTCTAAGTACTTGATTTTTAAAGAGAAAACTCAACCTCAAACTTCATTATTCTTCCTCCTCTATTCACAAAATAACACACACACTTTACCAAACTTTATTTTCATCCATTTTTCTTGATTAAAATTACCATACAAAGATCTCATAGAGCTAAACTCATGGATCAAAAACATCCAAATGCATAAAATTTTGTGAATTTAGCTCAAGCATTCTAGGGT